ATTATTATTCTGCTATCCTGTTCTGAATTGAACTGGACAGCAGAAGAAGCAGCAGCTTCTCGGATGAGAAATGAAATGTTTTCAAGGAAAAAAAACACCACCAAGAGAGTCCAGTTGCCTTTTAGGGGGAAAACCCCCCATCTTTGGGACAAGCATGACCTGGAGGGGACCGAGCATCTCCGTAGACAACAAGAAGTCAGCACCGTCTCTCCATCTCCTGCTCAGGATGGGCCACGGTGAGAAGCCAAATGCTGGACTGAGATGCCCCTTGGCCCGATCCTGATCGGGCTAATCTGGGTGAGGTCCTCTCCATGGCAGGAAGAGTCCCGTGGCTTCTAGGCTGTGGCTGGCACCACCGTGCCACTTGCGCCTGGCAGCGGAGGAAGGGCTGGTGGGTTGGGGATGAGCAGGTGGAAGCAGCTTATGGAGAAGAGCTTGGAGCAGCCCCTGACCCGGGACTCAGAGGGGGATTAAGGACAAAATGATTACTCCAAAGTCCCATCCATCCATCTCCTCGCTCCTCTCCTCTCCTCTCCTCTCTCCTCCGCCCCACCCTTTGGTCTGACTCATCCCAAAGAGAGGTGGAGCCCCCCCCCCTCACTCAACCCTGCCTTCTCTGGCCTTCCATGACCGGAATGGAAACTTTTCTTGAGTTGTGGACTTTCTTTCTTTCTTTCTTTCTTTCTTTCTTTCTTTCTTTCTTTCTTTCTTTCTTTCTTTCTTTCTTTCTTTCTTTCTTTCTTTCTTCCTTCCTTCCTTCCTTCTTCTCTTCCTCTCTTCCTTTCCTTTTCTTTCTGTCTTTCTCTCTCCCTCACTCCCCTTCCTTCCTTCCTTCCTTCCTTCCTTCCTTCCTTCCTTCCTTCCTTCCTTCCTTCCTTCCTTCTTTTCCTTCTTTTCTTTCTGTCTTTCTCTCTCTCTCCCTCACTCCTTCTTTCTTTCTTTCTTTCTTTCTTTCTTCTTTCTTTCTTTCTTTCTTTCTTTCTTTCTTCCTTCCTTCCTTCTTCTCTTCCTCTCTTCCTTTCCTTTTCTTTCTGTCTTTCTCTC